GAGATATGTTTTGAGACGTGATTTGAAAATGGGGAGAGAGCCAGTGTTGCGGATGTCAGGTGGGAGGGAGTTCCAGAGGCGGGGTGCAGAGCGGCTGAAGGCTCTAGACCCCATGGTGGTTAAACGGAAGGGGGGTGCAGTGAGGTGGAGGGAAGCAGAAGACCTGAGAGTGCGGATGGGTGTGTTGATGTGCAGGAGGTCGGAGAGGTACATAGGAGTGAGGTTATGGATGGCCTTAAAGGTGGGGAGCAGAATCTTAAAAACGATACGGGATTTGACTGGGAGCCAGTGAAGCTGCTGAAGAACAGGAGTGACGTGGTTAATGGAGGGGGTTCTGGTGATGATGCGGGCGGCAGAGTTCTGAACCAGTGGAAGTCTGTGGATGGATTTGAGAGGGAGACCAAAGAGAAGGGAGTTGCAGTAGTCAATGCTGGAAGTGACCAGGGTGTGAACAAGAATGGCAGTGCTCTTAGGGTTAAGGGACCGGCGGATGACGCAGTGGGTTGTGCGTCAGTGTTCAGATCAGGTGGTCACAGGTGCAAACCCCACTGCAGTCAGCATGTCGTTGTGTCCCTGGGCAAGACACTTCACCCCAAATTGCTCCTGTGGGGATTGGCCACAGTATTGAGTATGTAAGTCGCTTTGGATAAAAGCGTCTAACAAGTAACATGTAATGTAATGTAATGTAAAGGGACGGGCGGAGGCGGTTGATGTTGCGTGGATGGAAATATGCAGACCGAGTGATATGACTGATATGAGATTTGAATGAAAGTGTGCTGTCGAGGATGACACCCAGACTCTTAACCTGAGGGGAGGGGGGAGACTGAAGAGTTGTCTATTGTAATGGAGAAACTGTCAGGTTTGGTTAGGGTGGATTTTGTGCCAATGAGGAGAACCTCGGTTTTACTGTCTTTAAGTTTGAGAAAGTTAGAGGAAAACCAGGATTTGATGTCCTGTAAGCAGTCAGACAGGGAGGATGGAGGGAGGATGGTGGTTGGTTTGGAGGACAAGTAGAGCTGGGTGTCATCCGCGTAGCAAGGAAAGTGGATGTTGTGTTTAATTATATGATTAGTTTGTTTGAAAACAGTAAAAATACAATTGAAAGCTCCCCACCCTTTAAGTTACTGCTCCATATATTTTTTATATGACATTTTAAACGATAGACTGTATACTTTTTAAGGGAGTTATAAGCATCATGTCCCATTTAAAACAATTAAATGTTTGAGTTGTTTTGATTTCATCTTTTTTCTTTTTAGAGTGCGGCTCCAACAAAAGTTGATAAATTAGAGCCAGATGCTCTAATTTATACGGACTTTAAACACACTTATTGTAGGTTGCTCCGTAGAAAGGTGATAAATAAATTGAATTACATTGCATTACACTAATTCCATTTATAAACATAGATGCTAAATATATGATCAAATCAAATGATCCCAGGATTGGGGTCAGTCGTTGCATGCAACAGCTTGAGGAAAGAGGAATAGCCATTTAGGTAATTCAATAACAAAAATGCAAAAATGCCTTTAGCTTTCAAAAGCTTTATAAAGACAAAGAAGATCATAACTGTTTTTAAAATTAGGGTGCTCTCTAACCTGTCCACCTGTGACATATTGAGGGGTATAAAGATTGAGTGGGAATTGAGGTTTCGGGTAATTTTGGACTCGATATTCTCTCAGGCTGCAGATTTTGGTGATTGGCCAGCAAAAGCAATGCCAAATTCAACGGATTATGTCTAAATGAGGGATGCACATGTTCGTCCTGCATCTCATCTTTAAAAATGAGTCAACAGTTCCTGTCAGCAGCAGCCTCTCTCCTCTGAAGCTCCAGATGGACAGTGGTTAATCAGACTCAGCCAGCTGGCCTTTAACCCTCCACGATGACCTTGGTGAGACCATTCAGGTTAACTTACTCTCGCAAAAACTAATAAATGAGAACAGACAGGGATATGGTGAGAAATAGGCTTGGGGAGGGAGGCAAGGGGGTGAGGAAAGGGAAGGAATACAAACAAAAAGGGCAGAGGGGAGGACGTGTAGATGCTGGTGGTGGATGAAATCATTTAGATGAGTGACTCAGGAACCGCAGACGGGAAGGAAAAGCAAGAATAAGGGAGGAAACAACAGTGACTTCTAGATTTAGGAAATTAAAATGGGACTTCCTACTAAACCAGCATTTAAAACGGTTTAAGGCACTTTGGCCCCTGTGACAGCATCACGATCATGACATCTTCATCATAGTGGTTGCAGTTATAAAAATGCATTTGGCAGAGTCCAGATAACAAAAGGCTGACTGTTTTCAGTATGTTGCAGTAACAGATGAGTGGAGGATTATAGGAGGATTACAGCCATCTGACATGACAACAAATGTAATTATTCTATCACTGAAAGAAAAAATAATGAAAATATAGAATAATATGACACGGAATTATTGTATTTGTCCGATGGTCAAATGGAGTTTAACATCATTCTCATGTTTTGCAGCCATGTTAAAAAAGGACTTAGCATCTTTTTTCTTTTTACACATGTTTCCCTAATTGTATATTTAAAGAATCTCAAGAACTCATTATTTTGGGTAGTTAAACAAAATTCTGCGTAATAATTTGTTTTATTGTGGTCATGGCTAGTCTCCCACTGGTGGGTGACGTCTACAGGGATAGAACTCCCACTCTAAACCTTTGGGGATTTCCCACGATGAGCCACTGACTTGGAGAAATGAACACATATTAAACAGATGAGAGAATGACTCGTCTCCCAGAGCAGGACAGCCTGAGGACAGGTAACAATTATAGAGAAATGAGACAGGATTTTATCTGTTAGTACATCAACAAATCTCAGGGATTACACCAGAACATTAACGTTCTTCATATGAGGGAAACTTTGTTAATTCCATCCATATGGGTATATTTGCAAAAGTGATTGAACATTCATGTTGCTGCTGAATATGTGCAGCTATTCACCCTTTCCCAAGTTCAAACAACTATGTCTTGATTATTCCGGTAAGCACTAGCAACATTGAAAACAATACATTTGATTCAAGATCAAGTACAGCTACATTGAGGTGATCGGATGGTTTTACAGAACCACATCCATCATCATGGCCCAAATTCTTATAGGAGGACATTTTATTGATAATTCTGTAATGTCTATAGATGGGCCCTGCTATGAGGAGCATAGAAAAATATACAAACATATCCCAGTTGGGCTCATATGGAGAGTTTATAATAACTCTCACTAACAAGTTAACAAAGAGACCAAACTCAATGAGTCAGTGCGCTATTTAGCTAGCGAATGTTTTATCTATATCTATCTGTTAATCATGCTACCTAACATTCACTATCTATCAACATGATAAAATAGATTATGTTACCTATATAGCTAGCAATCACCAAGTGTGTGGCCTACGCAATTTCAATTGGAATTATTGTTTATCACCCTATGATTAGAATTGCACTAGAAACCTGTGTCTATCGTTCAAGTTGTGAGAGTATTTATATAAAGACACGTTTTTTTTGGCAAAGTACAGGTTGATAAATCTGGTGACGCTATGCTAAGTGATAGCAGTTTCGCTTTAACCGGAAGTATCAGACATTATACAGCAATGTGGATGTGTCTTAGAGAGGCAAGATGAATATGCTCACTGAGGAAAACTTTCAGTAGAACCTTGGTTTTGTAGATCTAAGTAAAGTAGAGTTTTAAATGGCAGCTAAAAAAGAAGAAGAGAGGGACAGAAAACATTCTCGCCCCTCAAGCAAATAGTTAATTTTTCAGGAATCACCCAATAATATTGTGTGACTGATCCTAACCCTTTGATTTCACAGAATACATCACTCTATGCTCTTAAAGTGACCCCTTCCTAAATAAGAAGTTCAATTTCAATGGGCTTAACCTCAGACGACCTCCGCAAAATACTTGATGCATCGTCTCAAAGTGGTTTATCCTGACTTAAAATGTTTCAATGAATAAGTAAAACAAAAAAAGGGTTGTCGCTTAACAAGATGAGGACTTTAAGAGAGAGAGAGAGAAAAAAGCTCTTACATAATTGAGGGGCTTTTCAGTTGGAGATCATGTCGGGGAGCTAAGCCAAGTAATATTTTGGGAAGACTTCCTTGACTTCCTGCGAGCTCAGACGATCCCTCTGCCCAGACAAATGCTCTAATGTGCACAACTTTAATACACACTGGTCTGTCTTTTTGTTCATGTGTCTATGACTTTCTTTTTTTACCACACACCGGCACACTCACCACCCTAGCAAAGCACGGAACACCAAATGTCAAGGTAGGGGTCATTAAATATAGATAAGAGTGTGAAAGTCCCTAAAGGCTGGATCGAGGTAGGCCTGCTGGGTGAGGTGGGCGGCAGGTAAAAGGGTGAAAAGGCAGGTCAGCTGTACAGAAAAGGTGAAAACCTGGCAACAAGCCGCTTCAAGCTCAGAGTTTGTTTTTATTTAACCCTGAGACTGTCAGGGGATTAGCAGAAATGTGATGCTGACGAGAGGGTACAGCCTTGTCGTCTTTACATCCAGATATGGCAGAAATCTGTCAGGTGTGACGAGTGTCAGCGCTTATGCCAAGTGACAGAAGCCAAAAAAAAAACGCCTTGGGCTCAGACTGAGCTCAAGAATTTAACCCTGCATTGCGTGAGAATGGAAAGCACATGACTAAAGATACAGCTGGAGGTCTAAACTCACACAAGCTATGACAAAAAATGCTTAGAGCTAAAGCAAAACTCAAAATCCCACGTTTTAAATGGGTCATAGCTATCCAAAGGATTCCCCAAACTCTAACTTGTTCCTTTCCTGGTTACGATTTGTTTACGTAATGACTGAAGATGATAAACTAAATAAATACGTTTAAATAAAGACTTTTCATGCTGCTAGTTCTGCTTTTATTTGACTAGGTTTACAAAGATCTGTCTCTTTTTGCCTACAAACCAGAGGAACCGTAAGTGCAATTTTTGGGCTAACATCAGTGCACTGTATTGTGGTTTTAAAAAAAAACACTGTACCTTGAGCAGTGTACACCAGTTCGCTGTAGACGGCGGCAGGGATGATGGGGACTGGCAGCTCCTGCAGGAAACCTCTGAGAGCATCGGTCAGAGAAACCACATCATACTGGTCTAGGTCCACTGAGAGGGGATCTGAGGGGTCAGAAAAAAAAGAAAAGTGTTATAGATTATTTATAAAATACAGGGATGGTTCTTTATTGCGGGATAAGCATGGATTTGTTACCGAACTGGCCTATATAGGACACAGGTCCATTAACATTTCTCATTGGATGGTGGAAAGGCCAACACAAAAGGCATTGCTATCTCATTCACATTTAGGCCCAATTTCAATCCGGACAGTACAACTCTGTCATGGAGTTTTCTACGTTTGTAGTCAAAGTTAGCTAAATTAAGTGTTGTTCTTTAGGGTGAAGGGTCTCAATACAGAAGCAAGCTTTTGGACGGGCTTTTGGACAGGAGTTAGTCTCTTGTGGTGGAGACAGGAATTGTTGTAACTTTTCCCAAACATCACGCATCACTATTTTGCTTCTCTGTCTTCTGGAACTGGCTACATAGGTTTATGGAAGTTTATTTTACAGGAAGTTCACTGAAAGTAACTCACTTTTGAGAGGTGAGCAGTGGTTTAGAGATCTGTAACCAATGTATGTCCAAATATCTGATTCAACATGTAACACAATGTAGTAGCTCAGAAATGTAATTGAGTGTTTAGTTGTTTTTAAGAAGTGACCATGCACTGTAAGTTGAACTGCAGGAACTAATGGGGTCCTAGCTTTGGCCAAAAAACTCTTTATCAGAGAAATACATGTGGGTCAGTGTTAATCTGATAGAGTAGAGTGTGTCACCCTCACAGTCACTTGTCTCTGGGAAAAAGGAATACTGTCACTCAGCCACTGATAAAAAAAAGATGCTGAAATGTCCAACGCGAAGAGAATTTACAAATCTAACCTCGGTAGACGAAAACAAGAGATAAGAAGCCTGCATGAGCGCTGCAGGAGATTAGCAAAGGACAAACTAAAGGGCGCCACAGGACGTTTTTCTTGTCCTCCATCTTTCACCTCAACCTTCTTTCGCTAGTCATCCTCTCCTTGTCCTTCCCCATCTCTACTCTTAACCTTCATCCCCCATAATATCTTCTTCATTTGTTCCCTTGACCTTTCTCTAGTTTGCCTTTTATCTTCCATCTTTCCACACCAGCTCCACTTGCTCTTCCTTTTTGCTTTCTCTTGCTTTTCTTCTCCCTTCACCCTTCATCTTCCTCGTCCCATCCTCCCCTTCCAGCTCCCCCTTCGGCATCATACACACTAGAACTGCTGGAGTCAAAATTGCAGTTAAATCTCATTCATTTGCCCCTCTAAATAATGCCTGAATAAACTTAACCAATCACCACAGACCAGTAACCCACTAGGCCCATTAATATCAATGGATGACCTCTTCACATGGTGGTGCTGAGGCCTGTGTTATCGTGCAGTGATTTGTCTGGGGGATTCCATCACCCCAACACCCAGACAGAGCAAATTTGGTGTTGCCATGGGACCCATTCTCATGAAAAGATATGAATACACTTTTTCTTCCGTGTGTGGGTGAAGGGGTATAAGAGCATACAACTATTTGATTCCTGAAGAGCAGATTGTAATTTGTTAATTTGGGAGTGATGTTTTTCTCATGAGATCGAATTCAAAGTTTAATTTGTCCTCACTTGACTCGATGATTTCTCCTAAATAATCTTTCAACATTCCTGCAAGGGAGATGCTATGAATGCATTACTATTGATTCCTTTGTTAGAATGAACACAGCAAGAAGCACCATGATCCCCAACAAATGCTAACATTAAACATCATACTGTTTTAGCTTATTTTAACTGTTATGGCACGGTCGCTACATGTCTTTATTATAGGCATAACATATAATGTTTGACAATTCTAGTTGTATATTATTATAATGTTGGCAGTTTATGCAGTAAAACAAAGGTCAACTTTCCTCTATGTTGTCAGATTTTCCCGCACATTTTGTGATTCTAGGGATGTTGTTTTAAACTACAGAACTACAGCTGGATTTATGCCAGAGAAAGGGAATACCCTAGACCTCTTCTTTTGTTTTCTCGTTGGTCATGTAGCAGTCATTTTCAATGTGTTGCTCCTTCCTACAACATAGACAGGTCTGTATGTACTACTTCTCTATGTATTAACCGTCTATTGTGTCCAATGGGTATCAACTCATATGCATAAAATGACACGGTTCAATTTGAATCCATTTTATTTAAATAACCACAGACTTCAGTGAGAAATTGATCCGGTCCCCTTACTTGAGTTGGTTGTAAGGTTAAAAGTTTAGTCAGCCTGTTCAAGAAAGGCTCTGTGTAACTTCATTGTGTAAGACAATGACATTATTTTAGTCTGAAAAACAAGACAATGTGTTGGCTGGTCATGAGTTACTTTTGACTTCAAAGAGTGGAAGGAGGCAGCAATGACAACAACTGCTTGTTTCGGACTGATTTTGCTGAGACATGGCTGTCTGCCTTTCCCACGCCAACAGCAAAATGGCCTGATTGTTCTTAAGAGACGCACATGATTTATTTGAAGCCACTGGTTTGAATATTTAGTGCTGCGAACAATCAGATGAACACAATCTGGACACAAATAAATAAGATTTTACAAGCATTTACCATTTCTGCCTTTTACAGATCGTTAAGTACGACTATTTTTAATCCATGATAGAAAACACAGAGTTATTTTTAGCAGAAGTAACAGCAGCTGTTTGTTTGTATCAGACACCACGGAAATTGGTGTCTGATATCAGAAACCACCAGATAAATTGGCAGTCTATTTAACCATGATATGTCTGTGCCTAGTTGGATTAATCCAAGCTTCTTTTGTTGCCTCATTCCAGAATTGTATCCGAGTGACCCTGTTGACTGTCTGGTCTTAATGGCAGCCTGGCCATTTAAAGATGGGCCGCACGATAGAGTAGCCAAACAGGAGAAGATACGTATTGTGGAATGTATCTAGACAAAAACAATCATAGTAGGGTGTGCGTACATTTTTAAATGAATGTCAGATTTCTAGTTGTTGTTCTCAGTCTGGAATAGCTGGTCAAATGAATATCTCTTTTGAATAGTCTGTGAACTTTCTCTCCCGTTGCTTAGTTTACTAGCAGTTAAATGTTTCCACACAGCACAGTAGGTTTCCAATTGTTGCACAGTTGATTCGCCCTAACCCCAGTAGCATAGGCTCTCAACACATCACTGGTCGAATGTACTTATTGTAAGTCGCTTTGGACAAAAGCGTCAGCTAAATGCAATGTAATGTAATGTAATGTAATCACTCTTGTCATCGCGGAAACTATAATTCTGGTTTAAATCCCTTTCTAGAGAGAGGCAAGCGTCTGCTGATTTACATCACAGATTAAAACCAGACAACTGTTATCAGCTATGAGACAAATCAGCCAGCATTAAAACACAAGTTCTCAGAAACGGTTTCAGAAGTCATAACTCCTGTCCTCTCCTGCACTAATCCCCATTTTATTATTAACAATGGACAGAAATGACTTTGGGTGTTTAATAAAGAGCATAGCTTTGTTGCAACCAAGTCACAGACAATGTTAGCTAACTGTAGTCTCACACTCACTGTAGTGCTAGTCTAGCTGTCAAGCTAAAGAATAGCTGGTGAACAATTTAGCAATGTTGGCCAGATATGTTTCTCCTTAAAGTTGGTAGGGAACAAACCCGAGCTAAAAGAAGGGGAAGATATTGGTGTTTTTATCATCAGTTGCACACAAAGACAGCCCATTTTCTTTTGCGCATGCTTGATGTGTACGTGTATCGGTTTGCTAACATGTTATCATAATAAAATAAGGTGACAATATGCCAGTGTTCCAAGCTTCTTAAACTGCCCCTGATGTGGCCATATATCAAATCATTCAGCCCTAAATAAATGACGAAAGTAAGATAAGATAAGAAAGGCTTGGCTCTGCTCTGCTGGGTTTAAAAGGTTTTGTGTGCATGGTGTATACCGGGCAGAACTGCCTTAGTCAGCAAGGCAGGTTTAATGACATCTGATGAAACAGAGTAGTCCTCTTGGGGCCATAGCCAATGCAGCATCATTATACTGCTCACTGAGGAACTGGAAATTAGAAACCCCAGATCAATCTTCCTCTCCTTTTGTCTGTCTCCTTATATAAAGTTTCGGTCTATATTTCCTGTCTCGCTCTCAATATTTAGTTATTCTGCAGCCTTTTTAACAAAACACCTCCCTGTAACACCTGCCCTCTTAAAATGTCTTATCAAATCAGGGCAGGAGCTGTGCAGATTTAGATCCCATTTGATTGCTCAGTTTAGCATTAAACCAACGTGACCTCGAGATCCGTGGAAACACACACATCTAGAGACACGCCTACGTGTACACTCATACCCAAATAGGTCATTATTGATTATCACTTCCTGTACATGTCTGTGCATCGACAGGTTGGGGCAGATTTTTCAGATCTTCCTCCCAAAGGAACAACTTTGACCTGACACTTCACCTACGATCTTTCTAACGGTCTAATATTTTTTCTTTTTTTTTTACTTCTCTACTCTGCCTAAATCATATCACTGACTATAAGCCTATTCACACACACAAGGACGTGGCCAATTTCCTCTATGTACTTGATCCGTCAGTCGGCTAATCAAGGCTTTGTCTGACACTTGCTATGGATCAGTCGACAGATGGGAAGATGAATGAAAGGATGGATGAATGGATAGTCAAGAGCAGGGACTAATTATTGGATTTCTGCATCTTACACAGGACCCATGCGGCAGGAATGGTTGATTGGCTTCAATGAGACTGAGTGGAGAGTTAGACGTATGGACAATAGTTAATCTACATTTCCTGTTTGAGGGTCAAGTGCATTCATTTTTATGGAAGGTAAACCATTAAACCTCAAGTAACTCAGCAAGGTTTTTTTTTGGATGGCATTACCGTGAATAGAAGACCATTGTAATGAAACCATAGGATTCAAAGAACCTGAATTTGACTGCCAATATTAGAGTTAGTGGCGAAACATTTTTGGTATGAAACAACGGATCATACAATTTAGGCTATTGTATGATTTTACATATAAATTGTTAGATTTTTCCCAATAACTTGTGAATTCTT